GTACACGCTTCAAATGGACAAGGAGATCAGCTAATGGTTTAGCTGACACGTTGGCTAAACAAGGGACTGTGAGGGAGAGAATGTTATGGGCAGTTTTGTAAGAAAGATTACTGGGGGCTCAACACCTACTTAGGGGTTGACAGCTGTACTTAAATCTGGAAAGTTATTCTTAAGTTATATTAATGAAGCTACCGTTTTCAATAAAAAAAAKTATATAACATTCTAAACATTAATCTATGAATATCTTTTATGTTTTTTCTTCTTTGAAATTATAAGAAATACTCTTTCAAATAATTATATTATTCTAAACTAATAAAGATGATGATTTTAAAATGATTTCAGCAATTCAATATAGCTTCTTTTTCTACTTTGAATAACGTTAGGGTTTAAAAAGCTGTCATATAGTATCACTATCGATATTTTAGTTATCAACATTATTGTATTATGTTTTGTTTAGCATAAGAGTTATGATTTACATGTGAATATGCTTGTAATGCTTTTTTCTTGCTAATTGTATGCTTGTTATGCTATTATGTTGTTTATCATTTCGTAAGAGTTTGAAATATTAAAAGTTAAAACATTAATGATGTTTTATCAAATTATGCATAATGAGAGAGTTGACCTCCCCCCGCCCTTGTACCTTTTCTTAATTATCTAATGAAATGGTTCTGTTATTGATCAAAAAAATTATGCATAATAAAAAATATTCCCTAAAGGAAAACAAGAAGGAATGAGTCATCTATTATCATAAATTTGCACAATAATGGGTTTAAAGAGATCACAACATATCTAAATAAATTATTTGGATAATTTCCATGTGCATGTAAATTAAAGACCTTATATTGATAGGATTAACAAAGTAAAACTTGATGAGAGCAACATAAAAGAGTTTTACGCACTTGGATATTTGTCATGATGTTTTCCAGTAATACTTTTGTATAGAAATGAAAATAACTCATGGAAGTATTTTAAAATGTGTAGACATTTTTTTTTGGAAAAATGTGTAGGCATTTTAAACCATGGTTGGTCTATAAAAGAGTATTGCTAGGCCTCATCTTATTGTTATTGAACCAGTTTCTGCATGGATTGTCTTCTTCTTCTAATCCCCATAGCCAACTTCTATAGAGAATTGATTGTGTTCCTCAAGCTTCTTATTTGATTGCTATGAGAGTTTTTCCTTCTATTTTGTGTGCTGGTTTGAAAAGGGAATATTGTGTGGCACTTGTTGTGTCATGCTACAGGTGATCTTATGGAGATATATATGTTTTGAGGACTGATTTGGAAGGGGGGACAAGCAAAATTGATGTATTTCTCGGCTTGTATCATCTAATGGTAGAGGATGGTTATCATGTGGTTGTGCCTTGTGGACAATTTGATTTGGTACTGGTGCTTTCAAAAATTAGAGCATTACTCTCCTGCCACACACACCATAACATAGCCATAGGAATCAAGTGCCGCACAATATTCCCTTTTTCACTCGGCCCTTTAATCTGTCAACTCATCAGCAATGCTGAAATGGAATAAACAAAGCACTGTACCCACCCAAAAGTATCAAGAACTATTCTCCAGATCTTGGTAGAATAAGGACAGTGCAAAAATAGGTGGTTATCTGACTCCAATTCCCAAAGACAGAAAACACATCCCACTTGGTGCAGCTTCATTCCCCTGCTAGCTTGTCTCGAGTTAGGCACTTCCCCAAATCTGCAGTTCAAAAAAATTTATTTTGGAAAGGGCAGCAGACTTCCAGATTCTACTAGCAGAAGTGACCCACAGAACATTGGTTCAGCTTGGTTCATCATATATCAAGGAAAAAAATGTGGCTTCCAGCTGATACACCTGATTTACAATCAAGTCAAGATGAAATTTGGGGCCCGTTTGGTGCGTCTTTTTGGGAAGATCTTCTGGTAGCTCTGACATGCAAAAGACAGATTGAGCTTTTGCATGAAGATCTGAGCAGCCCAAAGCACGTTTGGCAGATGCAGGTCTTTCCGTATCTTTCCGCGTGAGAATAAAACGCAAAAGACGTGGAAAGCTTCATTTGAAGCTTCCCGAAATCAGCCCGAAATGGGATTCTCGCGTCTTTTCGGCGCTCCATCTTTTGGCAGCTAGATCTTTTGCAAGCCAAACGGGAATAGACCGAAAATTGGTCTTCCCGGCTTGTAAACAGCTGAAAGACTGCACGGAAAGACACCAAATGGGCCCTACCAGACTATTATTGGGTGGATCCATGATGGTTTCGATGACCCCTGGTTTATGTGTTATCAAATTTGGGAGACTACATTGGCTTCCAGTGGACACTTGTTTTTTGTTTTTATTAGTAAGTTATATATATTTTATTATCAGAAATGTACAATGTAGATATACACGATGTGCAGCTTCTTTATACAAAATGACAATTCTGATGAGCTTGTCCAATGCTGCTCCCCCATTGCCCCTGACCCTGATAGAGCACCTTATACAGGAAATACTAATGTTTCTCCCAGTGGGTATTCACCCCAGATCAGAACCTGTCTACTAACTCCCTCACAAGCTATGGAATTAGCAAAAGAGTTATCTGACCCTGGTATCCAGAAAACTTCTGCTTCCAATATGTGAATTAGGTGTCTTGCTTCCCTAATTGTCTGAAATTTCAATACTCTATTATGATGCACAGATACAGGTTAAGGGCACAAATGGATATGGGAAACGGGGATACAATTCTCTATTTCCTAAAATCCTGGATATGGATATAGGTACCGATATCCCATGTATATGACTACAGCATGGGTTTATATAGTTTTTGAAGCTAAATGTCATTTCTCAAGACTGTCTTGCCAAATTTAATTAAATTTCTAACACATGCATATATTTTATAGTTTATAATTCGGTAAAATGTACCATTTTACATATTTTAGAAGTGCTAATGCTATGAAGTACATCTAGAAGTAAACATGCAGTATCCAACAAGTATTTTATCTGGCACAGGGATGCTAGGCATGAACATCTGGGTATCATAGATGTCCTGCCATTTCTCCTTTCAGTCAGCAGATCATATATTTTGAATCTCCTATGAAAACTCTATAGAAACTGATGCATTAGCTAATCTCAGGTCCTGAACCTCCAGGTGGACACTTTATTGAGATTACGTGTTTACCTTGGGTCGGATTGGGTTGGGAATTTGTCAAATTTTCAATGGGTCCCAACCCTTACCCGAGCCTGATGTAGTTGAAATTCTTAAAGTTGGGCAATCGGACTTGCAGCCCTAATTGAGATGGATTCCAAGATTCTGCTGATTTGTTGATATATAGTCTCACTGGAGGTGTGGATTGGGAGGAGAGACTTGCATCAGGGACATCTCTTCTGGGATAGCTTGTAGTATTTTGTTTTGTTGTCTTGTTTTAGTTTTTTCTTGCCTGTTGGTGGCTTTTTCATTTGAAAGGCTGTCTATAGACTGTACTTTCTTCTGGCATTGTTATGTATGTTAAATAACACTTAACACTTTTTTTTTTATCAATAATAACACTTAACACTTTCACAGTGATTAAACTTGAACGCAAAACAATTATCCACTCTTTATGCAGGARACACTCCAGCGGTTTCCAGTAGATAATATGTACATGCCAGAAGTTACAAAGCAATTATCTCTTGCACGACAGATAGACAAGATTTTGCGGAAGGACTCCCAGGTAAACTGACCTTTTCTTGGCTGAAGATATTTGTAGATGTACTACTGAATGTTTATAGTTTTAGTCTCTGATGCAGTTATTCAAATGATATTGCTAATTTTAGTTACAGAAAAATGGGTTGAATGGATACAAGTTATAATAAAGCTTTTTGGTGAGTACAAGTAGGGTGTTCGCGGGTCGGGTTGGGTCGGTTTGAGTCATTTTCTTCAACCACTCCGACTTAGTCGGTTTACTTATTGACTAAACCGAAACCGACCAACCCTGAAGCAAAACCAACCCAAACATGAAGGGTCGGTTTAGTCGGTTTTTATATATATCTTAAACTGAAATATCTATTTATATTTAAGTTTATTTCTTTTTAGTTTTTATGCAAAACCAAAATATATATTTAAATCGATTAGTTTTTTTATGTAGAACTGATTTTTTGTCAATATATATTTAAATTTATACAAAACTGAATTAAACATTATACTATTGTATTATATTGTATTGGTTTTGCGTTTTTAGTTTTTATCATAAATAACTAATTTTTTTTTTCAAAGTTCAAACAAAACACAAATAAAATATATCAACATTTAACGTATAGGGTAGGGACTAAWTAGTAATTCCTTAAACATACAGGATCGGTTCGGTTTGGTCGGTTTGACATTTAATGTGAACACCCCTAAGTACAAGTTAAACAAAGTTAGCACTTCCTAATTTGTCTCTTTATAAGGGAAATTTGCAATTGCTCATTGTTCAACATAATTAGGCTGTCCAGTACTATGGTCTGTGACTCTAAATCCAATTGATGATGATATCCTGAATATTTACTTGCATTTTTCTGGTCTGATGTTTTGAGAACAGTACTAGTTGTTGAGAAATTTTATACCAAGTGTTTTTTAGAAATAAAGTCATGGGATGTTTTTCTTTTAAATTGTTGCATATGTCAAACTCAAATTGTTAGATTTGTAACTCATTCAGCATGCATATTAATTGAAAAAATAGTATTTCTCTTTATTAAGAACCTTAAATTTCTTCTCAAAACATGACAAACACTAAGTTTCTCTGCATTGCTGAAATGACAAACACTTAATTTTAATGCCTTCAAGAATAACACTGATATAAAAAGTCTTTAATTGTGCAATTTCATATCAAATTAGCAACTAAAGTTTCTCTGCTGTTTTACTTCATGTGAGAGAGAGAGAGAAGAAAAACGGAGACCTCTTTATCCTTTTTTCTCTTCTCAAAACCCTTGGTTCTTTTATTTTTCAATAATAAAGCTTTATTATGGCTAATAAGATATAGTCATACTAATGATATTATAATAGGGTGTCCACCTAACCAAGAGCACGGGGTTGCCTAGACAATGCCTTGATAACTGTACCTCTCATCTTCACTATTTGTTTCTTACCTTTACCACCTCTCCCTCGACTCTATCACTCTTGGACATCTCTAATCAATGACAAGCCAAAGACCATGACTAAGGATTGACTTCAACTTCTTTTTGCTATTCAACGGTGAATCATGCAGGTCTATAGAACCAGCTAATTGACACCTTTTTCTCAACTCTTTGAGACTTTCTGATCACCTTTTTGTAAGCATGGCTTCAGGTTTTTAAGCTGAAACTTTTTCCCATCAGTGGAGGGCTGCAAGACAAACATGTGTCTCTTTAGACTCCATTATATGTTCTTTCACTAAATAATCCAATTAGCAGACTCTTCCATTTGTCTGTCTGTTGTGTTTTGATAGGTTATATGGTTTTCATGTTCCTAGTGAGGAGATGACTTGTCTTGATTTGCATAATTGTTGGGTCTAGATATTTTACTGATTGTGCGTATATGCCTTGTTCATCTTCTTGGTTGCATTGAAGTCAGAACAGCGTTCATATCTGGTAGTGAACATGATGCTGACTGACAGACTGAGCACTGATTATGTTTTCATAGAGCTAGGATTTGTTAGTTTATTTTGTCATTATATGCCATGAATTTTGTTTTATTTTGTTTCCATGTTGAACATTTTTTTCTTTTCAAATTCTGAGATTTTTCCAGGAAAGGGCAAAAAAAAGTTGGTTGGAACGGAATGCAGARTCGGTGGAATTGGTTATAGAGGACAATGAGAGTGAGGAAGAAAGAGTTAGCAGTCATAAGAAAAAGAAAATCAGCTCCATTCATTTAAAGCAATTGCAGCAGGTGTGCTCTAATGGTTGATTTCTTTGTTGATTACATCATACGCCTCGATTGGCATTTTAATGTATAGTTAATCTGATTTTTAATACTTCATTGACATGCCTATTTTTTTCTAAATGAACTTTTTAACTTTTAAAATAATTTCATTTATTTTAAATTGCAGGAACTGAATGTTCTGCTTTCACGCCCTTTGCAACCAAAAACCTTCTCACATCGCTTTTTGGCAGGGGTATTCATTTGTAATTTTGTTCTTTTTTTCTGTTTACATTATAACCTTTCTTCTGTAAGAATTTATACTCTAGAACTTATTTTCTTGTACTTTCTTTTGCAKTATACATTTTGTGTTTCATATTCTAATGCTTCTAAGTTTTTAATTGTAAGAGTGTTTTTTGCATTTCTAAGTCAATTTTCATTTTCTGCTACTTCTTTTTTATCCCAGGATGCAAGGCACAGAGTTCAACTTTGAAGCAATATTGTTTTGTGAACTTTTTTTACAATGGGAAAATTTTTATCTGAACTAGTTAGAGTACCGATTCCATTTCAGCAATGCAATCCAGCATCCATCACAAGATCCTCTTGGTTGGTCAATCAAACACTCATATGTCCAATTCCTCGTTGCCCCATATTTTGCTAGAGTATCTGCCAAAGCATTGGCAGACCTTGGAACCCAAACAACTGTAGCTATTAAAACATTCAGAATATCTCTCACCTCCCTTGTACATGCCAGTATTCAAAATATCTCTTGATTTCATATCATCCATCCTGTTACCACTCCAGTCACCTTCAATAATTAGATGCCTGTAGTTCATAGACTTGGCCCTTCTTACTCCAACACAGCCCATAGTTCTGCTCTAGTTGAATCTCCAACCCCTCCATGTCCAGTAAATAATTCTAAAATATGTCCCTCATCATCCCTAAAAACACCCCCAATTCCAGATTGGCCCGGATTTACCCAGGCTGCACCCATCAAAATTCGTCTTGATGAAACCAGCAGCAGGATTCTCCCAAAGTGAGGTTACAGAATTCCTCATTGCTGAAGATTCAAGCACTGTATAAATATAAATTACAAGTGCCTTAGCAATTAGCATCCTTTYRAGAAGTAATATTTGCATTGTTTTTTTGTTGTTAAAAGGCATATTTTATTTGTTGATGAATAAATTATGAATACGGCATACCAGGAATGTGAATGGGCAATTTCTATGATGCCAGAAGGGTTATGATACCATTGACCAATCAGAACCACCCCCCCCCCAGTGAATTTTGATGAATACCAGCTGATTGGTTGCCACTTTTATGATACCAGTTGATTGGTTAGAAGCTTTTAGGTATCATGCCTTTCTGGTATTGTTGTTGGACTRATGGAAAAATCTTTTCTTCCTTGCAAATTGTTGGCCGGATTATCACATGCCGGTTAGCTCAGAGTAAAATGGTATGGTCTATGCAAGAATATTTCTCTCTTTTCTTTTTTCCCCTTCCAAGTATTGTTTTTTCTGGTAACAGTGGTCTTGTATCAAATGAAAGGTGAAGGTTCAAATGCCACATATGCCCCATTTTTTCAGAGTTTTTCATACACAACATTATGCATATGCATTATTACATTACATAAGATTGTGATACCCAACTAAATTGTGGTGTAGCCCAACATGAGTTGGGTTCCGGTTTGAGCAAGTTGGGTCAGTCTTTACTATCCTTGCTTTAACTGATACAAGTGATACCAATATAAAGTCTTCTTTATCTACCATCATCTTTTCAGTGGTGCACATGAATCCTTAATGTGTTTCATATGATGTTATTACTTTGAACTAATTTTTGTTGGATTTGTCCTAGGCTGGTGTTTCCCCCCTCCTTCAACACCAATTTGAAGAATTAGCTAGGAAGAAACTAGTTGAGAATAGAAGCCACAATGAAAGCAAACGAAGTAAATTTGTGGTTATTGGTCAGGATTGCATGGAGCCGCTCCAAGCACTTAGGCGTGCTGGCCCTGAGGTATGGTTCGAGATTCACATCCACCTAGCATCTTATTCCTTTCAGCTGATTCTTTCAAGAAAAAATGTCCATAATTTGGTTTGAACTGCGTAGGATAAATCCTCTTAGGACAAAATGACAAATAGTTATTACATTATGGATCAGATGCCAGGCACTAATTTCCTAAAACTAGGAACTCATGAAGCTTTTGTGCTGACTTACAGAGTTATTATAATTTTATTTTAGTTAGATGGCACCAGAAATTAAATGCTAAGGGTTATGATGTCTTAACTAAAAAAGGTCATTACTCAATGTTAGTCCCAGCTATCTGGAGTATTGGGAGGGGTGGACTGGATAAATATCCAACCTTCGGCATTTTTGCACAAAGTGATGTTCTCAGACTCAAACCCATGTTCTCCACTCTTGTCAGCCTGAAATTTTACCATTAAACCAAGCAATGGGCTAATGGCCCTGGTTGTGATGTCTCAAGTCTCAACTGTAAATATAAAATGGTTTTCATGTCAATTAGGCCTTTTCATATACATTACCATTTTTTAAATTTATTTTTCATATATTTGTCAGATGCGCATGGACTTGAAAGAATTGGCAGAAAAGCGAAGAAATATAGAGAATATAAGAAGAAAGAGGAAAGAAGAAAAAAAGCGTATGCCCATTTCCCGTTTTGTTTTTATATTTTGATTTACAATTCTGTTTTCTTTTTTAAATCTATTTCCAGGACTGAGTTTTCTCTTTTTCTAGGCTTGCGTGACCAACGAAGAAAGGAAAGAAAAAGATTGAAAAATGGCAGTGGATAGGAATTCTCAGTGCATTGACATGAATCTTGGAAAACAATAGCAGCATCCCTATAACATTTGGTTTATTCATTGAGAGGTTTCTCACTACTCCTGTAGGTGTAGAAATGGAACAATGTGATTCAAGCTATCTAATTTGAAGGATGCTCTTTGTATTTTATTGTTGTATCAATATTTGAAATTGCTGGTTGATTTTAACAACGGATAATTGCAGAGTATCTATAATTTCTGTAAATTATTTGATAGAAAAATTATATCAAAGATTAGTATTCTGAAATTCAGACTGGAAATCGCAGCAKAGGCTGGTTGAACGGTCTACGTTTGCAGCCATCACTCAACCTCTAAGGGGAAAATTTGTGGAAAAACATGAAAGAAAATTGGAGAACCTAATATTTGTTAGTATATTATAAAATAGTATGAGATTGGAATCATGCGAAGGCTTTGATCAAATCAGGTTTGGGAAAAACCATTTATTTTAAACCCCAGCTTTGAAATTTGGGTCATGATTGAATAGGAATCAAGGGCCACATACATGTTTGAGCATAGTTCTCCAATACAAACACGTTGAATCACTACATTGCCTTTGCCAGATATTAGTCTTGTAAAGGGTTGCTTGAGAAGTGAATTTCCTCTACTTTTTCATTAGCCTATATATTAGGAATTTTCAAGGTTAAAAATGTTAGTATCGCAAATGTGCCAATGACACCACGTTTCAAAGTATCGATGCTCTTGAGTCTTGAAGGAGTTTGCACATCAAGAGTTTATATGTTGAACACTATACACCAATAATTTAAGATTGAAATAACTATTAATAAACTATAAACATAGAAAATGCACACTTCATTGGTTTATATAAAGAGATAGATTACAACCAATAATATTTGACTCTAACATTTAGATGTCATATATTAACTTTACTAGTAATATATCAACCAATGTTTGAGCTTCAATCTACTAAAAAAATCATTGTAGGACTAAGACATAATAAATTGTTTGTGATAGGCTATTGATAAAATCCAACTTATAGTTCTTCCTTATCATGAAAATCACTTAAAACATATATAAAACAAATTCTTTTCTAATTTTTGGATTTTTCTAAAAAAAGTAGAAAAAAAATTATTTTATTTTTTGACATAAATACTTGTTAGATCAAATGAGTTTAATAGATCATTGATAGATCCATCTTATAGTTCTTTCCTTCAATAAAAATCATTTACAATATATAAATGTTTTAAGACTTCAACTAGACAGGGTGATCCATCTTATGGTTCTTTCCTTCAGTAAAAATCATCTTATAGTTTTTTCTTATTTTTTACTAATGGATTTATTTTCTTTTTTAGTTTAATAGATCATTAACTGAAGTTGGTTTTATTTCTTCTAAACTATTGGATGACCACAAATCTAAATAAAGAGATACACGCTTGGGGGAACTTCTCCAACAAGCTTTTTTGAGCTTTTTGAATTTAAGAACCGTTTGGCACATCACATCTAGTTTCTCCTTAGGGATAATTTTAAACCATTCTGGTAGATAAGCAGAAGCAGTTTTTTTATTGGTTTCTAGTTTTCACCCTTTTTTCATTTAAAGTGGGGAATATATTTTAAAACTTTAAGATTTCCTTTTAAATATCGTCAATGCCCTCAAATTTATGTTTTAAATGACTATTAACATCTTGAACATCTTTAAATGCCTAAATTAACCTCCCAATTATTTGTTAGAGCTTCAAAATGATTAACATATGAATATATCCCAAATGCTTCTAAACCTCAAATTTGTCTGCTTTCTTATACTTTTTCTACTTGCGCTTATCCATTTACAATGAAAATTATCTGAAAATAAAGCACTGCTTATGGATAATTTCCAAGCTATCAGGTTGAGCCCTTCCAAACACCACCTTAGAATATCGATGCATGACTTAAGCATGAAAGAACTCTCTAGAGAAACATACATAAGGAGGACCATTGAGGGGTTGTTTAGTTCCATTATTATTTATTAAATAAATGTTTCGTATGGCATTTTTATTTAAAAAACAAGAAAAGTGGTTAAAAACATTTTTTAATGCCCAAGGGTTGGGAGAAACTTTCATACAACCTGAGAAAAATGTTTATTAGTTTAATTAAACAACATTTCAAATTCCATTGGGGGGAACGCTTACGTGGTGCTGAACACCATTTTCAAATAAACAAAAATGGAACAAATACCATCTTAGTTATTAGTTTGCCTTTTGATATACAATAAATTAAGTGGGAGTTATTAGTTCGTCCTTGATATCCGAATGGTTTTGTTAATGGATYGTATCAAGGTCTGGATAGACCCGAGTCCAACCTTAAAATTAAATGTACAAAATTAAGTTTGAACCAAATTGATAATTATACTCGCACATGTGCATTGCATAGAAATGGCAATTTCTACCCTACCTAGTGGTTACTTGCCCCTACTTGCTTTGACGGGCTCTTTTTTCTTGAAGGATGGATTTTGGGATTCTCCGTACGCGTACAAGTATGATATAGTATTAAGTGGAAAGCATATAAACTTTATGTATTGAGTGTTGAATTTAATAATACTTTGAATTTTATGTGAAGGATAATTGGTAGTTTATGTTTTTTACATGTATTAATCAAATAATTGGAATTTTTGTTGTGTGTTTGTATTATTTTACTTGTTTATTGTTTATATATAACAAGAAATAATAAAAAATTATATATGAGTTCTAAATCCACTCCACCCTACCCTTGAATGCAAAGAGGGTAGGGTCAAGAGAGTTTGGATTTTCAAAATCCAACACACTACAAGTTKTGGGGCAGGCATGGGTTTGAAGGGTTAAGGAGGTGGATAGGGTCCACAAATTACAAAACCCTCTTTGAACCTGCATTGTTGCCATCCTTAGCATTGCACATTGCATGTACCCTTGCAAATTGAAACATTTAGACATTATAATATGATAATATTATAAATATAATATACCCTAAACATATCAATATATCAAGAAAAAAATATTTTTTATGGTCAAATTAGTCAATTTTATTAATCATTTTTTAAGTTTGATTTATTAATTATATTAATAYCTGGTTGTGATCCAAAATTGATTCGAATATGATATAAATCAGATTCTATTCGACTTCAAAATACAAACAAAACAACCGAATTTTGATCTACATGTATCCGAATATCCGTTTCCAACCCTAAATGACCAYTATCCACTATAATTGTTCGTATGATTTTTTTTAAATGCTGTAAGGTTAGGCTTTTTTTTTTGTTTAAATTATTATCATCCTAATTTTTGTGATGTTTCTGCTGTCTATCACCACAAATCTTTCACATTTCCAAAGAAAATTTATTTATTTATTTTTCATAATGTGTGTTCAGAATTAATTCACATGGAATAAACTTTGCCATAATTACATTTCATCATAACGTATGGATGGCCTTTTATTATGACAATTAAACAATTCAAGCTAAGGTTTAAAATTTCTATACATATCAAACTGGTATAAAGAGTTTTACCCGGTTTAGGGGGTAGAGAGGCCTTAAACAGACCCCTTTGAACCGGGTTGAAGAAAAAAAAAAAAAAGAATGACTCGTGATACAGATTGATACGCTCCTACCGGCATATTTGACTATCGATATTTGAACCTTGATCCAAACCGTTGGATATATGGTTTTAACACATTTTAACCGTTGAATCTCCAAATAAGTAAATAATGTCCATTGGATATAAAGCTAAGCGAGTGTTGCATATCCATATGTTATAACATTGTACATGATGACATACAATAACCCCCTCAAGAAAAAATTTACAACWTAACGGCTGTTTCTAATACAGGTGAAAACGTTGCATATTTTCCTACATAACGGCAACGGTGCCAAATAACAAGAAAGCCGATTTGTGGCTGTTTCCTACTTTTAGTGAGGTATTGCACTGCCGTTTCCTCCGCAAAACACCTCACTGGAAACAACTACGATACCAAACACCAATCTAGAATTCAACCCGACTCGGCGACTCGTGCCAGGCGAAAGCCGAAATTGGAGCGGGCGCTGTCTTGGACAAACAGAAGTATTAAAAAGACTGAAGCAGTCGTGTCGTGAACACTGGACTGGGAGTTGGATTGGTACTAGCAACAGCCTTATCGAAAATGGCTCTATGGATGGAAGCAGGTTCGGAACCGACGACGGCAAGCGAAAGAGCAGATATCGATGGTATCATCGCCATTAAAGAGTCAGTGGCTCTCGAGCTTAAGGTCTTCTCTCTTCTCTTCTCTCCTCTTTTCTTTTCTTTTTTTTTTTCTCTTTTTAGTATGTATGTATGTATACTTATTTCTTTTCCTTGGTTTCATGATTTTCTTCACATATTTGAGACGCAAGTTCTATTGCCCGGGTTTCCTGTTTCCTTGTGGTAAAACTGTTCATTGACTAGGGTTCTTCTTTTTTTTTTCAATCTTTATGGGCCCGATACAAAAGTAGATTTCTTCGGTGATTCGAAGCCAAATTGTGTTAGGAATTCTTTTTGGATTGGACTACAATTACAATATGATAGTGTTCAGAGAAAATAAATTCGGTTTTCAATCAGTGCTGCTTTTTTTTTTTATTAGCACCTTCTGTGAAGTTGTGAAGACTGAAGAATAGTATTGGAAGGGTGAAGATGGATATGCTATTTAAGTTTAATATGATTTTTTATAGTCATCTTGATTTTAAGGCCTACTGAAAMCAGGCTGCGTGAGAAAGCATTACGACTAAAATGTCCAACTGGTATGGACGAAAACAAGCATGCGGACCTTGTCATGTTGCGAACTTTTCTGGAAATTGTAGGTAATTCGCCATAGAAAATTTCCATGCTAGGTTCTTTGGAGTGACGAGTTTAGGATGCTTCACTGCACAGTTATAGAGGGTTTGCTTGACTATACGAAACAGGCCATGCGGGTGAACTTTTCTTGGAAAAAAAAGGCATATGGTTGTTTGATTCCACGGGTAGTTGGTGTTTCATTGGAAACAAGTATGCAAATGTTGTTTCATTAAGAAAGGAAAATAGATGAAACATCCAAATATTGGCAACAAGCAACCATGTCGTACAAAGCAAAGGATCCTTCCCAAATCCCCACCTCTAACTGGCCATAACTTTCACACATCAGATTCACAATATCTTGGTAACTGAATAACCTATTTAATGACAAAATAAGCCAAAATGGCAAGCTTTGACCCCTGAAACAGCCATAACTTAAGCTGAAAGAAAAGTTGCAAACCTGCAACYTGAACTTCTTTCAATTATAAAAACCTCTAATAATACTATTTAAAATATTCTGATTCCTTTGAAGACATCCCTACAACAGTAATGGATAAAAAAGAAACCTAAAAGAAGTCAAAGTTGACCAAGATGAAAAAGAAAACGAAAAAAAATTACAAACCTACTTCTAGAGATAGGCTGTTATTACTTTCTCTTTCTCATGCCTGCATCAATTAGAATGGTTTTTATTAGTGAATTACTCAGTCTTGTATTTTTTGATTGGTTTTTTGTGTTGGTTTATTTATTCTAGAAATATTCATGTTGCTGTTTGATTCAAAAATTCCTGTCCCTTAATGTATATCTGCCTTCATATTCCTTTTATGCTACTGTTGATGCAGGAAAAAGGTAATGAGTATGTCAAGATGGGTAAAAAGCATTACTCAGATGCTATTGATTGCTACACTAGGGCACTAAATCAGAAGGCCTTGTRTGATTCTGAGAATTCAATCATTTATGCAAACCGTGCTCATGTGAATCTACTTCTCGGAAACTATAGGCGTGCTCTTGAGGATGCTGAAGAAGCAGTAAGGCTATGTCCTACAAATGTCAAGGTTGTAAGTTCATTTTCTTATACAGGAATTATTGTTCTATTCTAGAACTTTCTGGATCATTCTGCTTCAACATGGAACTATGGATGTAGAAGTTTGAAGAAAGTGGCTTGTTGACTAGGCACTTTACCGAGCAACCAAAGCTGCTTTGACTTTAGATCTGTTGACTGAAGCAGCATTGTTCTGCCGAGCTGGACTTGAGCAGTCCCCAAGTAATGATGAACTAAAGAAGTTGGCAAAGCAAATTGATTTACGTAAATCAGAACATGAACTGCATGAGGCTCAAATTAAGGAGGCTGTGGCTGCAGCTAAGGTCAGATATTTGCAGTGTATGGAGGCAACTCTTTTTAGGATCTTCATGATTTGAGTCCTGCTTCTGCTAAGCTTCTGCTAAATTTGTGCAGGATATTGCTTCTGCAATTGAGAATAGAGGGGTGAAGCTTGGGAAACCAATGTATCAAGAACTCACTGGAATAAAAAAGCCTATTTTAGATAGAAATAATATTCTCCACTGGCCCGCTCTTCTTCTCTATGCAGAGGTTATGTCCAGTGACTTTATTGAGGACTTCTGTGAAACTGATGTGTTCTCAGCACACTTAGACATGATATCCACTTTGTAGTCTTTCCTTTTTATATTAAAGCCTATGTTTACATGAAATTATGTAGTTAATACACTTGGAAACCTTCTTGATGTCCTTAGCTTCAAACATGTTTTCAGAAACTTGTCCACCATTACCATGGGATAGAGAACATGTTTACACTCGTGAAGCAGTTGAACTGTACTATGAGGTACGCCCTTGAATGATTGAATTTGGCTCATTTGGTTTTCAGTGAGTAAATTAGAGGACTTAGAATTTATTTGTTCAGTGGAGGATTTTTGTTTGTGAATATTCTGGATATGTTTGATTGATCTCCATTGCAAGGAAAAATTCTTCAGTTATGTAGGTTAGAAATTTGAATGCAGGCTACCATTTTCCTTATGGCCCGAGGTGTACATAGGCATGTAGAGGTATCCGAGGAATATAAACAGAATGCTGAATGCCAAAAAGGTTTCAATTTCAAATCCCTTAAACCCAGGATTATAGTAATAAAAAATCTAGGGGTAATCCCAGGGATGTGGCTTTCTGGGAGGTGGTAATAGAGGGGTTTGTCAAAATATTAGCTTAGTAGAAACTGAAGCCTGAATTGTCAACAAGCTTCTTGGAAAAGAATTGCATCAAAAAAGGGGGGGGGGTTACTTTAATCAAATTCACTCTTTCTGATCTTCCAATTTTTTTTTTTCTCGGTGTTTAAGGCCCCTATGAGAGAGTAGTGTTTTTTTTTTGTGGGGTGCAGGTAATAATAGAGTAAATCATCTAGTGAAGTGGTCGGAGGTGAGCAAAACAAAAGAGGTAGGAGGATATTCAGGAAAAAAGGGTTTTTTTTTGGGACTAATAGCTTTGGAGGTTCCCTAAGGAGAAAGAGGCTTTGTGGCATCTGGTGATTGAAATCATTTACGGGTTGCATCCCAATGGATAGGACTTGGGACCAGCTAGAAGAACTTATGCAAGAAGCCTATGGAAAGAAATTTTGACTTCACTTCCAACCTTCCTACAAAATTAAGATATGATGTTATTTCTTGACAAGGGGGTGAAATTTTGGGAGGACATTTGGCAAGAAAATTCTTCACTATTGCCAATTGTTCCCAAGAATCTACAATATTTCAAACCTCAGAGACAATGAAACCAACAAGCTGATTCCCTTGCTGAATTTGCTCCAGGACCTTATCCTTGTTTCCTTGGATTYTAATGAGAGGGTATTGACCCCTTTGGCTAAAGGAATTTTCACATGCGCATCCTTCTTTAAATCACTTGTTACTCTAATTGAAAGCCCAGCTTTTCCTACTAGAGAGTTATGGTCTAGCCCAATTCCACCTAAAGTAAAGATTTTTGTTGGGATGCTACTAATCAAATTATAAATATGAACTGAATCCAGAGCAAGAAGAAAACAAATCTAGGGGTGTCCAGAATAGTCGACCCCCACCCTAAAGAGTCTCTTTTATATTAAAGAGATAAAAGATATGTACAGTTACAAGAATGCCCTTACAGGGCTGAAAGATAAAAAGAACAAATAAAATAATAAGAATACAATACTGTACAACAAGGACTACTCTAATAGTGTACATCAAGATATATCTTCACACTCCCCCTCAAATTGATGCGTAGACATCAGCATCAATTTGCCCACAAGAATGAGATGTCGGCTTTTAGTCATGGCCTTGGTGAAGATGTTGGCAATTTGCATGTGAAAGGCTACATGAGAAAGAAATATAGAGCCCGCAACAAGGAGGTCTCTAATAGAGTGACAATCCACCTTGATATGTTTAGTCCTTTCATGGAAGACTGGATTAGATGCGATCTTGATAGCGCTAGTGTTGTCAGCATACAAAGGGATAGGAGTAGGAAGAGAAATACCAAGATCCATGAAAAGTGACTTTAGCCAAACAATCTCGCTACATGCAGAAGACATAGCTCTATACTCGGCTTCAGTGGAAGACTTAGAGACAATTTGCTGTTTCTTGCACTTCCAGGAGATGAGAGAGTCACCTATGAAGACGCACCAACCAATAGTGGATTGACGAGTGTCAGGGCAACCAGCCCAATCAGCATCCACATAAACCCTCAAGTGTATGGATGATGAGGAAGAGAAAAACAGTCCCTGAGAGGTTGTGTCTCTAACATAACGGATAATGCGGTGAACAACAGTCATATGAGGTTGTCTCGAGGTAGAGACAAATTGACTGACGAGGGGGGTATCAGGAAGGATGAGGCCTTCGGATTTAGATAGCTTGATGTTCAGCTCCAGGGGGGTATCAACATGTTTCTCATCAGTGATTCCAGTTAGTTTGACGAGATCAGAGGCGCATTTTTGTTGACAAATAAAATACCCTCGACTGCTACGATGAACCTCCAAACCCAAGAAGTAAGTGAGAGGACCCAGGTCCTTCATGTGAAATGAGTTATGAAGTAAGGACTTCAGCTCATAAATGCCGTCATGATTATCCCCCATTAGAAGCATGTCATCAACATATAGTAGAAGAATAGTAATACCCTGAGGCCTTCTYTTAACAAAGAGGGAGTAGTCAGAGGAATTCTGATTATACCCAACTGCAACAACAACATCCCTGAAGCACTCAAACCAAGCCCTGGGTGCTTTCTTTAGGCCATATAAAGACTTCTTCAAGTGACAGACACGTGAAGGATCACTGCAATATCTAGGAGGAGGTTTCATGTAGATTGTCTCCTTTAGTTCACCATGAAGGAAAGCATTATTCACATCTAATTGGTAAATAGTCCAGGAATAAACAGCAGGTATGGCCATAAGAGTCCGAACTGTGGTGATCTTAGCAACCGGGGCAAATGTTTCTTCATAATCAATCCCATATTCTTGACTGTATCCTTGGGCAACTAACCGGGCCGTGTATTGATCAAGAGAACCATCTGATTTCAGTTTGATCGTATAGACCCAATGGCTTCCAACAATAGAAGCATCTAGAGGAGCTGGCACAAGATCCCAAGTATCATTCTCATGGAGGGCTTGAATTTTGGCATCCATAGCTTCTTTCCACTGAGAACTTCTAATGGCTTGTTGATAAGATCTAGGGATATCTGTCGAAGAAAGTATAGCAGAAAAGGAACTATGGTTTGAAGAAAAACCATAGYRGTCAGGAGGTCGAGAGATACGGGTAGAACGACGAAGTGGAATAACCGAACTACTATCTAAAATAGGAGGATCTTGGGTCAAGGTACCACTTACAGAGGATATCTGAGATGAATGCTCTGGACCGGGTGGTAGGGGAGTTGTAGGCGTAGGAGTCGGGACACGTAGCCGCTTGCGGGTGAAGACAGGAAGATCTCTCTCGGTTGAGGAAGTAGTAGTGTCATTTGAATTAAAGTCCTGTAAAACAGAAATGGAAGGAGTAGACAATCTAGCAACCCCAACAAAGAAGGAGATATGTTCAAGAAACACAACATTCCGAGAAATCCGAATACGACGAATAGCAGGATCATAACACAAAAATCCTTTGTGGTCAGGACTATATCCCACAAAGGCACACATAACAGACTGAGCAGTTAATTTAGGATGGATGAAAATTGATCAAATACACAGTTGTATTGGCTGCTTCTACCCAAAACGAAGTTGGAGTACGAGACTCCTGTAGTAATGTCCGCACAAGACTGAGAATATGTCCGTTCTTCCGTTCATCTACACCATTCTGTTGTCGAGTGTCTAGGCAGTTGCGTTGAGACTAAATTCCATAACTCCTCAAGTATGCCAGGAAGTCTCCATCTCCATATTCTCCCCCTGAATTTGAGCGGAGGATAGTCACATTGCACTTGAATTGATTTTGCACCATAGTATGAAACAATTTAAATGCACCAAAGACTTCTGATTTGTGTCGCAGAAAATAAATCCAAGTATATCTGGTACAATCATCGATAAATAATACAAAATATTTGTACCCCAATCGTAAAGTAATAAAAGCAGACCAAACATCACTATGTACTATCTCAAAAAGGTTTAGTGGCATGTTCAGATGTATGAAGAAATGGTAAAACATGACTTTTACTCAAACAACATGTAGTGCAAGAAGCATCAAAAGTATTAATAGGGGGAATTTTATTCTTAATCAAACCAAGAGTCAAACAAAAATTTTAATCTTTGGGAATRTGGATGACCCAATCTTTTATGCCATAAATCCCAAACATTATTTCTATAACACAACAGAGAATCAGGCAAAGAAGAACTAAGTAAAGTTGAGGATGCCCCCGATTGRGATTTCTCGAACTCCAGCGCAAACAAACAACCCAGCCTACACCTCCTTTCACCTTCCCAGTGTACCGGTCCTGTATCAAGCAACCATCATGAGAAAAGGTGAGAACATTTCCTTCATCAACAAGTTGGCCAACATAAATCAGATTAGTAGTAAGGTTGGGTACTAAGAGGGTTTTGAAGAGAGGAAAAGATCTGGTTGGTGACAATTGGAGGGACAGATCATTACTACCAATGATGTCTAACTTTTCACCATTAGCAGTAATAGTATGTTTATGGTGAGTTTTAGTGGAAGGGATTGGGTGATTGAGGTAGCCTCTTGTCTATGGTTGGTGGCACCTGAATCTATAATCCAAGCATGTGAAGGTGAAGAACAATATGCAGAGAACTTACCAGACAAGCCAATAGCAGAGAAAGCAGAGAAAATAGTAGAAGATATCAGTTGCCAAACCCTTTCTTCATCCATGACACCTGTTGAATCACCTTTCATTGAAGACTCACCCTTGGTAGATACAGTGTTTGTTGCTGGTCCATCTGTTGCCTGATAGGCCTGAGGTTGAGTCTTTTTCTGAGAACCCTTAGCTGGTCGGACTGGATAGTCTGGAATGATGTGACCATGTTGCTTGCAATAGGTACACACATTCTTCTTCTTACAGTGAGATGCAATATGTCCAAAACCCTTACACTCATAGCACTGGGTTTTGGAGAAGTCCTTGGAGGTTGGTTTCTTACCCCCATGAGCAACAAAGGTTGTTTCAGCCCCAACTTCAGCCATCTTCCCATCAAATCCGATTGCAGTGAGAAGTCTAGTCTCTTCCCTCAGAAGTTCCTCTAAAACAGAATCCATATTTGAAAGTGTTCCCCTACTCAGAATGTCGGACCTGATTATCTCATATTCAAGTCTAACTCTCATCAAGAACTGAGTCACCTTTCTCTTTTCAAAGTGCTTTTGAAGATATTTCACACACTCCATTGGA